GAAATTTAAGTTTTGGTTGGTCGTCAGATGTTGATACTAATCAGGCAAATCTATGGTGTTAAAAGCAGCTTAATAAGTGCGTAGATCGTAAGCTTTTACCGAAATGCGAAAAGTGTTGTTCGTAGTCCAGTGATGTTGAAGTTTTTCAAGAAGAGGGCGAACTTTTTATATGCTGAGTACAAAAGTACAAAAAGGTGGGTTACTGTTGTTATTTTAGAAGGCGGTCATGTTGATAAGTTCAGGAGGAACAGTAGCAGTGGTTTACTGGTGACTGAGGTGGAGACGGAGTGTAGAAAACTCGAGGCTTTAACAGAAGTTTTTGTTCTTTACCTGTGCTTGCTCTTATTAAGATAATAGTCCAAGAACTACTTGCAGATTTTGCTTATTTTTTTAATCCGAAACATTTCTGCGACATTTATCTCCAGGTGTTAAATGCTATACGGTTTTAATTCGGAATTTAGGGTACCTAATCGAGCCTAGTGACTGTGTAACTGGTTTCATAGTGTTTTTGCCTAATTGTGCTATAAAGATATTGGTTTCATCTATATTTAATTCATCTACCAACATATTTCAATTCACTTATTGCATTATAATACACAATGTCAGCAGCATTCCAGTTTAGTAGCTTTCTTTGATTATTGCAAAAAACACCTTTCAAGTACTTGAGAGATGTAAAAAGAGGCTTTTTAGTTCCTAGAAAAGTGTGGAAATTGCAGCTTCTTCGTGTACTGACTATGTATTTTTTGATTGGAAATTCTGCTGGTGTTATGTCAATACAATTTTAATTTTGATATTTTTCAAAATTTACTGATAATAACGAGGAATAGTCGTAAAAGTTGCTGCTTGGAAACAGATAATACTTTTCTTTTTGAAATGAAGTTTTTCTTTGTTACTGTAAAAATTACTTTTTTCGTTCTGAAAGGTTCGCGGAAAAGTATAGCCTAAAGTGTTATATTTGGCGTAATTTGTGAAACTTTCGCATCTATATGCTTTGCTACTCAGTGTTGTCTTTGTGAATACACATTAACCTTTAATACAGCTTGTACTATTTCCACAAGTTACGTTTAGCATATTTCTATCCCTTTTTTGTTATGGGGTTGAAGAATTGAATAATCGTATACAACTTCTATATGAAACTGTAAAAAAGTTTTTTGCTTGTGTGTCATACACAGAATTCTAGCAAAAAAAGTACAGTGGAATGGAATAGGAAAAAAGA